CACACACACACACACACACACACACACATATGTGTATGTGTGTATATATTTTTATATATGTATGTATATATATTTGTGTATATATATATTATATATATGTATATATACATTTTATACATATATATATATGACTTGGAATCAGACAGGCTTTGGTTGGAGTTATAGATCCAGTTTTTGGGCAAGATACTTTACATCTCTGAGCCCCGTTTTCTTATATATAAATTAATAATGACAATAACTACCTTAAATGGTGTTAGTGAGGCTACAAAATATCATATATGTAAAGTGCCTGTCTAGTGTGTAGTAGTCTCTCAATAATGTGGTAACTTAATCAAAATCTCTGTGGATAAAGCCCAGAAATCTGTATTTGTAACAAATACCCCAGGTGATTCTTTTGTTCTGTATCTGTTGAGGTTTGAGAGCCACTGCCCTAACTGCACAAGTGAGGAAGGTGCTTTATAAACATCCTCCTTCATGTTTAAGTGTTGATGATAATGAGGTGAGAAGCATGAAACATGGAGTAACACATAAGAAATTATTTTTGAAACAAAAGGATAATGCAGTGGTCCTGACTGATTATCATCGTTAGATCCCATATTGCCCATTTCCTTTAAATGAAAACTAACCCTATGATATTACATAATATTGTTAGTATTATTGTCTTATTATTAGTCACTGCCTTGTCTGTTGCAGCAGAGTATTGCCTGTACAGCCACAATTAGGAGGCAAGTTAGTTGGCAAGGGAACTACTTGAAGCCAAGAAGCTTGGCTAATCTTGCTTTCCTTTTTGTTGGGATTCATTTGAAAGGTCAGATTATAATATATTCTGAGCATTACATTATTGGCCACATAGTTACAGATTTTACGGCCAATTGGCTTCATTCTGTCTGATAGCATCAGTGCATCCCTAACCATTTCTTGCCGATGCATACTAGTAGTTGTAAAAGGAAGTCAGACCTATTGCCAGTTCTTTAAGTAATGGTCACAGACACCTCAGAGCCCCTACCAGTAGAGTATAGCATCATCATTATATAACCAGGAGCAATACAGTCATCATTTTCTCATAGAATCCACTCAACCTGTGTGTGAAGATCGTGCAAGGAATTCGGGCCATGGAAGTTGATTCTAGCCAGTACTCTTTGGAATTGATCCAGATGGTTCATTCATGTCTTGACCAGGTAGGTGATTTAAATATTCACTTCAACCTCAGTGTTTGATGTATGGCATAGCAATAAACCATACAAAACCACATCTACTTCCCCAAGGTAGAGTATATTTGTGGGTGTACCCATTATAGACATTGGTAATTGATTATAGTTATGTGCTTCAGTGAAAAAATTCTTACGTTATTCTGCTTTGTAAGTACTAGTTTGGGAAATGAATTTCCCATCTAAATTGTGCTCCATTTTTATGACCAAGATTAATTTCTGAATATAGATTTCATAAAACTGCAATGAAAGATAATTTATCATTTCTAATATGGAATGTATATGCTTCTTATATCTTGTAGTTCTCTTCCTGTGTAGTTCTAGTATTATTCAAAGTATGTTTCATGAAACACTGGAGTCAGAATCACCAGGGAGTAGGGGAACTTTGTAAGTAAAAAGAAGATTCCTGGGCCCCACCCCAGACTAACTCAATCAAAATCTCTGTGGGAGCCCAGAAATCTTTATTTGTAACAAACACCCCAGGTGATTCTTCTGTATATGTTGAGGTTTGAGAGCCCTAATTGAATTACACTAATTGAACAAGTGAGGAAGGTGCATTATAAACATTCTCCTTCATGTACAAGTGTTGATGATAATGAGGTGAGAAGCACATAAGAAATGATTTATGAAACAAAAGATAATGCAGTAGGCTTTGACTAATTATCATCTTCAGATCCCATATCGCCCATTTCCTGTAAGTGAAAACTAACCCTATTTTTACTTTTTAGGATCCTGAGCAGAGACCTACTGCAGATGAACTTCTAGATCGCCCCCTCCTCAGGAAACGCAGGAGGTAAAGTATGAAGAAGTTACTCCATTTTCTTTTCTGAGATGGTTGACTTTTAGAGGCTTGATCGGAGTACTACAGGGAAGAGTAGCGTTTCCTGATTTGGTTGCAATAGTGCTATTTTCTACCAGCATCTCTGCTTTTATTGCTTGGGGTAGCTTCTGACTTTCACCTCCTTAGCTTGTTCTATTTTGTTCTAAATTTTTAGTGATGAGGCCCAAGAGTCCTTCAGTCCCTCATCCATTGGTTTTAAACCTAGAATTGAGGCATTAGAGTGCAGTAAGAAAGAGGGGTGTCTGGATGTTTGCTTCTGAATTTTGTCATTATCTTTGTCAAGTTATCTAACATCCTTATTTCTTAACTTTCTCCTCTATAAAGCAAGAAAAAGTAAGAATTAAAGAAGGTAATACATACAAAGTGGTCAGCCTAGGGCCTGGCATAGGGGTGCTTATCCATTTTTGGATAGTAGTGTGAATTGGACTGGGCCTTTGTTTTTTTGTTTTGTTTTTTGTTTGTTTGCTGAAACGGAGTCTCACGTAGGCTAGAGTGCAGTGGCACAGTCCTAGCTCACTGCAGCCTTGAACTCCTGCTGCAAGTGATTCTGCTACTTCAGCCTCCCAAGTAGCTAGGACTACAGGTGTGCACCGTCATGCCTGGCTAATTTTTCTATTTTTGTAGAGACAGGGTCTCGTTATGTTGCTCAGGCTGGTCTCAAAGCTGTTGCCTGGCCTCAAGCAATCCCCCGCTTCAGCCTCCCAAAGCGTTAGGATTACAGGCATGAGCCACTGTGCCCGGCCTGGGCCTTTGTTTTTTACTGCATTTGTTTAGGTAGGAGGTTGGAGTTGGAAGAATCTTCTTCGGGTACATTTTGCCTATTTTTGAAGTTGAGTTTTATTGACTCCTCAGAGGTTATTTCCTGAGATTTATTCTATCAGATATCTTTAGAGATAGGAAGAACATCCTTTATCCCTCAGTTCCTCCAGTTTTCATACCTTAATTTAAAATGTTTACCTTTCCTAAATGTTTGATTCTATATTTCATCCTATTATACTATTTTTGACTTGCTACCCTTCTTCGTCCACTACCAGCTCTTTTTTTTTCTTCTCTTTTCTTTTTGAGACAGAGTTTCACTCTTGTTGCCCAGGCTGGAGTGCAATGGCATGATCTCAGATCACTGCAGCCTCCCCCTCCCAGGTTCAAGCAATTCTCTTGCCTCAGCCATGTGCCACCACGCCCAGCTAATTTTTTGTATTATTTTTAGTAGAGAGGGTTTCACCATGTTGGCCAGGCTGGTTTGGAACTCCTAATCTCAGGTGATCCACCCACCTTGGCCTCCCAAAGTGTTGGGATTACAGGCGTGAGCCACTGCATCTGGTCGGTGCTTTGTTTTTATATCTTCCAAATATTCAAATACATACAATGCTCTTTTCAAGTCTTGCCCTTAGATACATTCTGTACATCCCTAATTCCATATTTGCTGTTTCATCAATACTTTTATTCTACTAGGTCATTTAATTAATCTTACCTGGTTCTTCTCCAGTTGGTCTCTAGCCAGTGTTTTAGTGCCTGCAATTATGTACAGTACTCCAGATATAGCACGGTGACCTTCCATTTATGTTCTGTGCATGTGTAGGCAGTATCACCCTTTCAGTCTGGTTAAGCATATTTAAAATTTTTACCTGGCTTATTTCCCAGCAATATAATGACTGACTTTGTTTTATTTTATTTATTTATTTTTTGAGACACAGTCTTACTCTGTTGCCCAGGCTGGAGTACAGTGGCATGATCCTGGCTCACTACAACCTCTGCCTCCCAGGTTCAAGCAATTCTCCTGGCCTCAGCCTCTTGAGGAGCTAGGACTATAGGCAGGCACTACCATGCCCAGCTAGTTTTTGTATTTTTTGTAGAGACGGGGTTTTACTATCTTGGCCAGGCTGGTCTTGAACTCCTGACCTCACGTGATCCGCCTGCCTCGGCCTCCCAAAGTACTGGGATTACAGGCATGAGCCACTGTGCCCGGCATAATCACTATTTTAATTAACTCTTATTTCTTGAGTATAATATGGCATGAAATTTTTACTGAGCTAATTATAGATTTGCCTCCAATACTTTGTTGGAACTTTGTCCTTTGATGGAAAACATGAGACCGAGTTTTCCAGACAAAGAATATAGCATAAGCAGAATCACAGATAGACATAGGAAGTTGTGGAAAATATTCAGGAAACACAAAATTCTATTTGGCTAGATTAGTGGTTCTGGACAGGAACTTTTGATGCAAAGTATCAGGAGCTTTCAAAAAGTACTGATGCCTGAGTGCTACTCAGGCAATAGCCCAGCTATAATTGATTTAGGTAGAATGAGAGCCCTGGGCTAGAACATGGAGTGTAAACAAAAGGAAGGAAGGCTGAAAAATAAGGAATCTTGCATGCCAGGCAAGGAAATTGTGGTTAATTCAAGAGATAGTGCAGAAGATAGAGTGAATATTACACTCACTATCAAGAGATAGTAGATGTTTGCAAGAGGGCAGCATGTGATGAGAGGCATACCTAAGGAAGACTTATTTAGCAATATTAGTATCTGTGTTAAATCAGTATAGTAAAATGGATTAAGACTATAGTGAGGCTGATTAGGAGGTATTACCACAGTACAGGTGGGAAGTAGAACTGCCCAGAACTAAGGTGGTGAGACTAGAAAGGAAGAAGTGAGTATGAAAAGTACTATATAGGTAGGATCTGTAAAACTTGAATATTAAAGAAAGGGAGAGAGCTGAATTAGAGATGACTGAGGTTTTAAGCCCAGTTGACTGGGAGAATTGGGGAAGGGTGTTGCTGCTAGTTACAGAAATGGAGGAGTCAGAAAAGCTCATTTGGGAAAAAGCTAACAAGCTCATATTTGGAGATACTGAGTTTGGGAGTAAGTGGGCAGACTAGATGAAGGTGTCCATCCCATATTAAACATGTACGTCAGAGGTTCTTAAGGCTCTCTGTTCCAGCCTGGACCATTTCTCAGAGATAGAGAGCAAATGGCCCCAAACTGCTAGCCCTTGGGTAATTAATGAATTGTCTAATGAAAGGACTATATAACTGAGTTGTATTGAAGTACTTTGCTAAAAGTATTGTGATGTTGTAGGATACATACAGTTTATAAGAGGATTAAATCTGTGAAATGTATTAGACACCTTTGCAATATAAAAACCTATATTTCACTCATGTATCTTTGCTTTTCTTTGGTAGAGAGATGGAGGAAAAAGTCACTCTGCTTAATGCACCTACAAAGAGACCAAGGTAATGATCAAGAGACTCTTAGAAACTAATATATCCTAAATTACCACCAGTATATGGTATTTCTTGAGTGTAGGCATTATTTGATCCCAGGATCCTTTGGCATCCTTTCAGGAGACAGCATCTGCTTAAATGTCAGATAGTCATTTCTAAGAAGAAAGCTATAATTTCACCCTCACACTAAAGTGGCCATCATTACCATAATGAATGTTGAAAAGTGTAGATGTTACGGGTAAGACTGGAATCTGATCTGGCCAAGCTGTGATGAAGCCCTGAGGCAGGAATTGCAAAGTCTGCTGTGATAGAGGACATTGAAATAAGTTGTCGAGAAAGAACATACTTTCTCATACCATAATTGGCAGTTCTTCTCAGGGAATAGACTGGAAGCACTTTTCTTTGATATTGTTTTTAATGTTAAATGTGCCTTTATTCTGGGGGTTGTTGGCAGGTCAAGCACTGTGACTGAAGCACCCATTGCTGTCGTAACATCACGAACCAGTGAAGTCTATGTTTGGGGTGGTGGAAAATCCACCCCCCAGAAACTGGATGTTATAAAGAGTGGCTGTAGCGCCCGGCAGGTGTGCGCAGGGAATACCCACTTTGCTGTGGTCACAGTGGAGAAGGAACTGTACACTTGGGTGGTAAGTGAAAGCTAAGCATTTTGGAATGGTGCTATAAGCCTAATTGTTTACTGGGCCCAGGATGTCTAAGCATTTTATTAGTTGAATCCCATACTAAGGAAGCGGCAACACAGGTTAATGGAATGGAAGCTCTTATGAGAGCAGAGATTTTGTCTGTTTAGTTCGCTGATGTATGGCCAGGGCCTGGTACATATTAGGTCACTTATAAATGTTTTTTGAATGAATGAATCAGAGAGGGAGAGAAAATTGAAAGACTCAGGAGACTGGGCTTTCCATTAGCTGGATGATTTCAGACAAGTCACTCAATTACTCTGTTATATTACTGTGAGGTTCAGAGTAACTGTTATCTGTGAAATAGCTCTGTAAACAAAGGAACCACTATACCATGTCAGGAAACCCCTGAAACCCACAGCAGTGATTGAAGATAGCTAGGTATATTTTGTGTAGAATTTCTTTGTTGCCCTGTAGATTCTCCCCGTCACCTTCTTTAACAAATTGTCTGTGTTTACTGTCTGTTTCCTTATCTCCCACTCTCTCCTCTTTCACCTACAATGCAGCTTCCATCTCTGCCACTCAATTGAAACCGGTCTTGACAAAATGACCCATAAATTGCTCAAATAAAACAGATGCTTTTTAGTCCTTACCTAGCTTGACCTCTTGGCAGCATTTGACATAGTTGACCACTCCCTCCTTCTTGAAGCTTTGTCTTCACTTGCCTTCTGTGATAGCGTGTTCTCTTGGCTTTCCTCCTGTCTCTTGCTGTGCCTTCTCAGGCTCATTTCAGGCTGCTAGAGAGCAATTAGTATCTTAAACATTTATTGGCCAGGTGCAGTGGCTCACACCTGAAGTCTCAGCATTTCAGGAGGCTGGAGTGGATTGTTTGAGTCCAGGACTTTGAGACCAGCCTGGCAAGCATAGCAAAACCCCATCTCTACTAAAAATACAAAAGTTAGCTGAGAGTAATGGCATATGCTTGTGATCCCAGCTACTCGGGAGGCTGAGGCATGAGAACCACTTGAGCCTGGGAGGTGGAGGTTACAGTGAACCACTGCACTCCAGCCTGGGCAACAGAGTGAGACCCTGTCTCAAAAAAAATAAAATTTTATACACACACACACACACACACACATACACACACACACACACACACACACATATGTATATGGACTTGTAGTTTAGTCATTTAATAGAAATAATTATTTCTCTCTATAAAACTGTTGCAAATCATCAAGGACTAATCACATTGCTATATAGCAGCCTCTTTGATGTAGCCAGATTCTTTATAACTGTTCCATGCTTCAGGGAAACTGAGTAAAATTTATAAAACTTGATTTCCAAGAAGCTATACTCCTATAGAAAGCAACCAAATTAGACTATATTATAAAGAATTTTTTGCATCATCACCTATAATTAAATATATAGTTTACCTTAGACTTGAAGAATAAAGATTAGATTAATGAATATTAATCTGGATACTTTTTAAGTTTCTTTACCTGTTGGCAGGGTCTTTATACTACCTACTACTAAAATGTTAATCCCTTTGCCCATTTTTTTCTAATTTCTAAATTTCTAGCTCTTTTTTTCTACTGTTTTTCTTCTTATGAAGTTATATTGAAGATCAGCTTTTGGCATGAAAAATTAAAAACTTCATAAGACCTCTTGGCCAGGCATGGTGGCTCATGCCTATAATCCCAGCACTTTGGGAGGCTGACGCCGGATCACTGAGCCCAGGAGTTCAAGACCAGTGTGGGCACCATAGCAAGACCCCATGTCTTTTTAAAATTTAAGTTTAATAAAATGTAATTAAAAAAAAAAAAAACTTCATAAAACCTGTTTATTTTATAGAATATGCAAGGAGGTACTAAACTCCATGGTCAGCTGGGCCATGGAGACAAAGCTTCCTATCGACAGCCAAAGCATGTGGAAAAGTTGCAAGGCAAAGCTATCCATCAGGTGTCATGTGGTGATGATTTCACTGTCTGTGTGACTGGTAAGCCATCAGCAGAAAGTGTCTTAAGTGCATTTAAGGTGGGATATTTGCTTAAAGCTGTGCTATTTTAGCTGGGATTTTACAACAAAAGACAGTATTCAAAGAACCAGAGGACATTGGGCAAATATACTCATTAATAATAATATGACAAATTCGCTATAGTATTAGGGAGTGGTGAGCAAAGAAAAGACAGGTGGGTAACAGAGAAGAGGTAGGATCAGGAGAAAATGTGTGTCCCACTTGGCAGGAAGAATAATCTTACCACCTCATCAGGCTGTGGATAACACAAAATTAGGATCAAGGCCTAACTTTAGTTTTGGTCTTGTCATTACTTACTTTATGATTCCTTGGTTCTTATATTTTTAATCTACATAATAAAGATGGCCCTGTTAAATCCTTTTAACGTGATAATGCTACCACTTTTTAAATTGTTTAGTAGTAGTAGTACACACGACTCTCTAAAATGGAAACAACTCTAGACCTGCACGGTCTATCCTTTTAATTTCTCAGATGTAATCATTTCATGTGAGATCATTTGCTGGGGAAGTCCTCATTCCAGCCCTGCCCAACTTTCTGATTACATATAATAAGTCAACCTTTTAATGAGTTCTGTTTTTCTTTCTTTTGCAGATGAGGGTCAGCTCTATGCCTTCGGATCAGATTATTATGGCTGCATGGGGGTGGACAAAGTTGCTGGCCCTGAAGTGCTAGAACCCATGCAGCTGAACTTCTTCCTCAGCAATCCAGTGGAGCAGGTCTCCTGTGGAGATAATCATGTGGTGGTTCTGACACGAAACAAGGAAGTCTATTCTTGGGGCTGTGGCGAATATGGTAGGGGTAGCCTTGTCTCTGTCCACTTCCTTGCCAGTATACAACCTGACTTCAAACTTGTATGCATTTAAATACATCATGCATACCCTAAATGAGAAGTGTAATTCAGTAAAAGAGAGTCTTACAGAACCTCTTCCCTAGGAAGGAAGCCCTCATTATAATGATTTTCATTCTTATGTGTGTTTCAGGACGACTGGGTTTGGATTCAGAAGAAGATTATTATACACCACAAAAGGTAAAATCACAAGCAGCTTCTTTCTAAAACCTAGCTAAGTCGCACAGACTCCAATAACATGTGCCCTTTCCTTGGCTCTGTTGTATCAAGGTGTTTATTTCTGAAATGTTTCCTGTGTGGGAGACTGACAATCTAGGATTTCTGATTTAGCATCCTGTGGTCTTGTCATATGACTAAATCATAGAAAACTGAGAAAGTGGATACAGCAACTGTGGACATGTGAAGTCACATCATACTCAGGGATGACAGCTAAAATCAACATGTACAGCAGAAAAGTAATATATAGCTGCAAATACACTGGAAAACTTGAGAAGCTACTGTAAAGCAGTATACTGTCTCTTAACCCAACTCAGCCATTTTCCTCTCATGCTTCTACAACTGACCACCAGATAAAGTATTAATAGTTGTTTTTGTTTAGTAGTCATGTTGTATGAAACATACGATCTAATTACTCTCAGCCTTGCCAGAGCTGGCCCTGTGATAGGCTCACAGAGGCTGACACCAGCTGGGGGAAAGGAAAAGCACAGTCACATCTCTCCCACCTTCCATAGGGCACAGGCTTACCCATTGGAGAGTTGGCTAAATCAGCTGTACCATTTACGGTTACCAGTGTTTTCGTTTTTTTTTTCTTTTTTCTTTCCTTGGGAGCTTTTAGACAAACCAGTTTTTATTTACATTTTAAAAATTAAATTATTAAATTATGCATTTGTGGGCACCATCCTCAATGGGATTCCCAGTTGTTCCTTTTCTCCTGGAAAGGCTGTGGCAGAAACTGTGAAGGTTGAGGTTTCAGGTTTTACACACATCCGTTGTGGCCCCACACATGCATCACCCCACCATTCTCCAGCCTTGTCTAGTTAGCTGTAAAAGGATATAAGCATTTGGAAGTTCTAGATATTACCTCAGTACTCTGTCACCTCTCCTATAAAATGACCAGATGGGACCCCACAGGGCTATTGAGTTTCTGTAACTGTCAAGCAACCTTCCATCTTAAAAGACAAAGTCAGCAATGAATTGAAGCTTCTTTCTCAACTTTTTGACAAGTCACCCAAAATAGGACCTCTTGCTAAGATAAACTGAGAAGGGGCTATCTTGTTTAGTTGACCTGGAATTGTCACCTTTTCCTTGATATTGTAAAACTTGAACTCTTTGTTGAAAATAGTAGCCTTGGCTGGTCACAATGGCTCACACCTGTAATCCCAGCACTTTGGGAGGCCGAGGTGGGCAGATCACTTAAGCTCAGAAGTTCAAGACCAGCCTGGCCAGTATGGTGAAACCTCATCTCTAACTAGAAACACAAAAATTAGCCAGGTGTGGTGGCACACGCCTGTAGTCCCAGCTACTAGAAGAGGCTGAGGCAGAAGAATAGCTTGAACCTGGGAGGTAGAGGTTGCAGTGTGCCAAGATCACACCACTGCACTCCAGCCTGGGTGACACAGCAAGACTCCATCTCAAAAAAAAAAAAAGAAAGAAAATAGTAGTCTTGGCCGGGCATGGTGGCTCACGCCTGTAATCTTAGCACTTTGGGAGGCCAAGGTGGGTGGATCACCTGAGGTCAGGAGCTCAAGACCAGCCTGGCCAACATGGCAAAACCCTGTCTCTACTAAAAATACAAAAATTAGCCAGGCGTGGTGGCATGCACCTGTAATCCCAGCTACTCAGGAGGCTGAGACAGGAGGATTGCTTCAATTTGGGAGGTGGAGGTTGCAGTGAGGTGAGATCATGCCACTTCTGCCTGGGTGAAAGAGGGAAACTGTCACAAAAAAAAAAAATAAGACTGTGAGCCACAACCTTTCCAACAGAGTGGTTGGGTGATCGCCATCTTAGGGAAAAGAAAGGTGTTCTCGTTCTCGTCCATGGCGCACCTGGCATGGGTGAACCCCTTCAACGTGCCTCATCTGCAGCTGGTGTATGATGGCCTCTGCAGCAGCCCTCCCAGACCCACAGGCCAGCCCTGCCGCCCTTGCAACCTGGCAGCCACCGCCGTGGAAGAATACAGTTGTGAATTTGGCTTTATGAAGAATTATCCACTGTGTGGCTTTGGTAGGGTCTTAAGATGCTGTCTGATACACACTGCTGTCGTTCCCCTGGATTTAGTGAAATGCTGTATGCAGGTGGACCCCCAAAAGTACAAGGGCATATTTAACAGATTTTTTTTTTTTTTTTTTTTTTTTTTTTTTTTTTGGGAAACATAGTTTCGTTCTTGTTGCCCAGGCTGGAGTGCAATGGCACGATCTCGGCTCACCGCAACCTCCGCCTCCTGGGTTCAGGCAATTCTTCTGCCTCAGCCTCCTGAGTAGCTGGGATTACAGGCATGCGCCACCATGCCCAGCTAATTTTTTGTAGTTTTAGTAGAGACGGGGTTTCACCGTGTTGACCAGGATGGTCTCGATCTCTTGACCTCGTGATCCACCGGCCTCGGCCTCCCAAAGTGCTGGGATTACAGGCGTGAGCCACCACGCCCGGCCTTAGATTCTTAATTATACTTAAAGAGGATAGTGTTCGTGGTGTGGCTAAAGGATGGGCTCTGACTTTCATTGGCTACTCCATGCAGCGGCTCTGCGAGTTTGGCTTTTATGCAGTCTTTAAAGTCTTCTATAGCAACATGCTTGGAGAGGAGAATACTTGTCTCTGGCGCACTATATTTGGCTGCCTCTGCCAGTGCCGAATTCTTTGCTGACATTGCCCTGGCTCCTGTGGAAGCTGCTTAAGGTTAAAATTCAAACCCAGTC